CTTCTAGGTTGGAGGCGGAGGCCATCACTTCTAGGTTGGAGGCCATTGCTTCTAGGTTGGAGGCCATTGCTTCTAGGTTGGAGGCCATCGCTTCTAGGTTGGAGGCCATTGCTTCTAGGTTGGAGGCCATTGCTTCTAGGTTGGAGGCCATTGCTTCTAGGTTGGAGGCCATCACTTCTAGGTTGGAGGCGGAGGCCATCACTTCTAGGTTGGAGGCCATTGCTTCTAGGTTGGAGGCCATTGCTTCTAGGTTGGAGGCCATCACTTCTAGGTTGGAGGCCATTGCTTCTAGGTTGGAGGCCATTGCTTCTACGTTCCCAAATTTTTAATTTTGTCCGCTTCAGACCGGCCACCGGTTGACTTGTCACTCTGCTCGTCAGACTGACCGGTCTGCAGGGACCGCCAGACGGACGAGTGGAGCATCACGGCTTTGGCGATTCGCCTGGGACGAGTGTCTCGGTTTCGGTCCGTGACCGGATGGAGGGTGGAGGGGGAAGTCGGATGGAGGGAGGATGGTGTTCAAGGATTTGGCCCTGAAGATGTTTTGAAGCATGTTGGTTTTGAACAAGGTTTTCAAGGACATTTTCATTTTTTTTGGAAGGAAGCGCCCTGAATTTAGGAGGATCGCTTCTTAATGTAGGACTTGGCTGGATTTGGGAGGACCGTTGAGTGAGGTTTGTGGGGATACTGGAAGAGGGAGTTTGGAGAGCGGAGAAACGCACGAGTTGGTGTGGCAATAGTCAGGGATTTTCTAGTTCAATATATGTTAATATGGAAGATATATATATATAAACTTCTAGGGTTTGTGGAACTATAGATGGTCTCCTGCGACGAATGATTTTCACTCGGATTCACTAAGATGGAAGTGGACCCCCCCTGTTTGGAAAGGAAAGCCACTTTTCCAAGGGGGCAATGTTCAACTTCCTTGTTGGTGAGTCACAGGGTAAGATCACAGGGTTCCGACAGTTGAAGAACCTGCATGGGTTGCTGCGAGGATATTGTCCAATCGCCCGATGAGGATGAGGGGCCCGACCTGGATGAGTTACTGAGCGGGAAAATCCACAGAAGCACCGGGTATTCATGGAGGGATTCATGAACACCCACAATTCATGTTGCCTCCATAGATTAGATACTGATGATACTGAGAAAGAAAGAGAAGAAAGGCTTCTTACACCTTTCCATGCCAGTTCTCATTCCACATGCCAGTTCTCAATGCCCGGTTGCCCCATCAAAGGGGGTCGGGCTTCTCCCCGTGCACCTGGATGCACCTTTTCCTTCTCCCCACTTTCCACCAGCCTTGGCTCCGCCACCGAGGCCTTGATTTTGACCAAGGGTGATCAGCTCTTCGAGTTGGACGTGCCTTCAGGCGCCGCACCGAGACGCCATCTGATGTGGATGTGCCATGACCAGGACGCTCCGTTTTCTTTGTTGGGGGGGGAATGGAAGCGCCATGACCGATTTCAGTATCTTGGGCACAATACAGGATATATCAAGATAGAGGAGCTATGATGAGGTATTTGAAGGAAAAACACACAACAAATCTGCGTCCCCCCCGTTTGTTTGACCGCCAAAACGCGGTTCGGAAGGCCAATGGACTGGTCCGCTGCTGTTGCCCACCTTGGGACCTAAATCCAAATACGCCGCTCGGAACGAGAATGGCATGGGAGTGGGGTGGGAAAAACCACAGGTTTTGAACAGAGTTGAAGAGGAAGAGCGGAACAGGGGGGATTGGGGGTCCAGAGATTTGTTGCTAGTCACCCAATCACTGTATACTGTACTGTAAGTAGTACATTTAGGGTGTGTCCAATTATATACCAGCAACAGTAACAGTCAGTAACAGATTATCACTATTTTTGATAAAGGCCTTTAGAAACCAAACCGGAAAAATCCACTGTTGCTGGCAATGGGAGATGATTTACCCATAAAAGAAGTACTCATATGATCATATGTACCCAGAATACATTTTCAGTTCTTTGCATTCGGAAATACGTGATGCAAGTCGGCATGTGTATCAAAAAGAAATTAATTACTGAATCAAAAATAAATTATTTACGTAATCAACAACAAATTAATTAACTAATCAAAAAATAACTATTTTCCTTTCCCGTCTCTTGTATGCTTGCTCCTGGTCCACATGGTCGTCCTGGTCCCCTTGGTCCCCTGGTCCCCTTGGTCCCCTGGTCCCCTAGGTCCTCTGGTCCCCTTGGTCCCCTGGTCCCCTTGGTCCCTGGTCACCTCGTCGAAGGGAAGGGAAGGGAAGGAAGAAAAGAAGGGATCCAGGTAGGAGGCCGGCGCCTCGTCTGTACACGCGAAAAGTGACTCATCTGTACACGCGAATGATATACCTCGTCTGTACACGGGGATGCGCTGCTTCAAACTCACTCTCGCTCTCACTCTCACTCACTCACTCACTCTCACTCACTCACTCTCACTCACTCACTCTCACTCACTCACTCTCACTCACTCTCACTCACTTTCACTCACTCTCACACACTCACTCACTCACCCTTTTGTCCTTTTGTGGGCAGGGTGAAATTTCGAGAAGGAAGTGGCTATGCCAAGTTCACTCACCCTTTTGTGGGCCATGCAGG